GGGGGAGGAGGAAGAATAAGAAGAAGAAGAAGAAGAAGAGCGGTCTCGGGGGGTGGAGTCTGGCGCGCGCCTCTTTCTCTAGCCCCCGCCGTCGCCCGCGCTGAGCGGGCGCCTTCACTCAGCTCGCGGCGTCGCGCGCGCCGAGCTTGAAATCGACCACGGCGTAGGTAGTCAGCCCCCATGCAAATTCACAGCCCTGCAAGCCAGGCAGCCAGCCCATCCCCCATGACTCCCGCTGGTGCCTTGCCCTCCATGACCACCGCTCCGATCTGAAGTAGCGCGCGGTGAATGGTGTCCTTGATGCTGACCCACTGCAGCTACTCCTCCGTCGGTTCCTCCTCGTTCTCCGCGTCCGCCCATGGGCCCTGCTCGATGAACAGCGCGAGCTTCGCTTGGTTGGAGTCGGAGCACTTGCTGAGTTGGATGTGTTTGACTTTGCGTAGTACCGTCGCTGCGTTGATCTTGTCCAGGAACTGGCCGTGCTCCGCGAGTATCGACCTCGGTTTGCCTCCCACGTCCTCTGAACAAAGGGTCATCTTAAGTGTCATATAGAGATGCCCCTCTGGTGGCCCTAAAGCGCGTCATTTGTCCTGGTCGTTGCACTTTTCCGCGTTCAGTTTGTGACTGGTCTTGAGGGCCTTGACCGCGTTGTTCTGAATGGGCAAGAGGTGCGTGCTGGAAACGGCTGCCACCATCCACGCCAGCTGCTGCGTGTTGGCGAGAAACTGCTTGATGAGTACTGCGAGGAGCTTCTTGAGCTTGGGGTCGACTCTGGCACGGCAAGCTTCTCCGCCTCGCTTGGAACAAACTGCTCGGGCCCCTTGAGCTGCTGCTGAGGCTGGTCCGCCCCCCGTAGCTGGATCTTCCCCTGCCTCCATGGCCGCTGCGCCCTCGCCCTCGCCCTCCTTGCCCTTGTCCTTGCCGCCCCCGCCATTTCCACCCCTCTTGCCGTTGTAGAGCTTGCGGTCCTTTTGGCTGCGCTCGGAGCCCGCGAGGCCGCTGGTGTCCTGCGCGATCTGGTCTTTGTTGGGCACTAGCCAGGTCATCGGCCTGAGCTAGAGCAAGTTGAGCTGAGGTAGTCCCCACGTCTAGTGAGATGATATGTCCTTCGACAGGTAGGCGTAGTGCACAGAAGTGATCCTGCAATGCTGATAGATGCTGAAGCGGCTGCAGATCGGGACAAAGCGGGCATATGCAATCATCGACGTCGATCAATGGATGACGCAGGCGTGCGTTGTCGGCGAGGCATCTCTTGTTCTTTAGCGAGCGCAACATGTGATCTTCAGCTTGTGCACGATCCAAGAAGGTCGCGCGGCACAGCGGGCACTGATTAGCGACTGTAACTGCAGCGGCTGCAGAACGCAACCCATGTGATGCGAACAGAGACCAGCCCATGTTTGAAATACACGCCCACAGACTTCACCTGCGTCCGTCAACAACTCGCATTTGAATTCCTCCAGTTCGTCGCCATCCCGTACTTCTGTAGCGGCCTCAAAGCCGGGTGGTGGAATAGCGACGGCTGTAGCCTTGGCCCTGAACTCGGAGGGGTCGATGCTGAGAAATGCTTCTGAAACCTCTGCGTCGCGAAAAGGCTGAGTAACGCTGCCGTCCCAGATGTAGCTGAACTGCTCTGCGCTGTCAAGAGCCAGGAGCGAGCTCACATCGTCAAAAATTGCCAAGCCCACTGATTGGCGCTGTCCTTGGGTGCGCCGTCTTCGTTGAGCTCGCCTGCGTCGGGATCGATGTCCTTCTCGAACTGCGGCGTGCCGAAAAGCGCTGTGATCCACTGGTCGTGGTCGGCACGGTACTTGACCGAGGCCTGGATAACACGAATGCGCCTGGCACGCATCTCGGTGAGCATGGGGGAGACGCCGCAGAACTTGAACACTTCAATGTTGGTCATGCTCTTGCAGCGTCCGTCGTCCTGCTGCGTAGTAGCCTTGCCACGCGTAAGAACCCTGAGGTAATTGACGATTGTGGTGTCCAACCTGCGCAGCTCGGTGTCCTTGATGAGGTAGGACTCCATGCCGCTGGCCGCGGCGCCCACGATGCGGTTGATGGAGATGCTGCGTTTGAGACGCCATGGGGCACGCCTGTGCCAGAATTTACCCATGATAGCCCAGGCCTTCTTCATATTTTGAACGCGGCGGTCGATCTCGATCGCGCTACTTCCACCATGATGAAAGTGTCCTCCGGTGTACTGCATGGCGCGTAGAACTCGGCCTGGCATGTGGGCTGCGAGGCTGCGGTGTTCTTTGCGGGTGCGAAGGCCTCCAACAATTTCCTCCGTGTTTTTGTTCTGCGAGTAACCGTACTGCGCGAGCTTGTCGTCCAGGATGGCGTTGGAGTTGAGGATAGCTGCTGCTGCTGTGGCTGTGCCCTTACTGACTATGTGCATGTTGTGAATGTCGTCAACGTAAAGGTAGGCCGAGAGGTCAATCGTGTTGTGCGTGATGGGGGAGATGGTCGCGAACGGCTTGGAGTCTGGTAAGGTCGCGTCGAGCCACTGGCCAATTGGCTGCTCGTAGACGAAGTTGAATGATGTGGGTCCCCTGCTGCAGCCAGGCATCACTCCTGAACCACATGAGAAATCCCCAGGCTTGTCGCATCCGTCTAGCTTGACCGTCGCGCAACGATAACGCTGGGCAAACAACCTCTGTTCTGTGCCTGCCAAGCACTGAGGAAGAACTTCCACCGCGTTGCCGATCATCGTGCTCGGGAAGGCATTGGTGGCGCCCTTGCTGCCAACGGTGAAATCGATGTTGGGGCGCTGCAGTCTGGCGGCCATGATGCGCGATGCTGCCATTGGAACTTCTCTGCGGCGGTGTGGCCAGCAACCGTGAGCATGACGAGGTGGTGACCACGGCAGCGACTGGCATTGTAGTTGACGGCACACGCAGCGCCAGAATGGACAGAGCACGTGCAGCACACGCAATCCTTGAACTGAAGGCTTGGCGTTCATCTTGTCGAGCGCGAAGCTCCAGCTGCGATGAGCGCCCGATGGAGCTAAGCCGACCCGATAGACACGACCGATAAGCCCTTCGAAACATGTATCTGTCCACGGCTCCTCCATCAGCTCCACGTTGTAACCGAGGCCGTGGGTGTGCGGCTTTCTCTTCGTGATAAATGTAGGCTGCAAGATGATCTGGAAATTTCTGCTGGCAACGACCACTCGGGAACTGAAGCTCGTTGTTCGAAGTATGTGAAACGCTTCTTGACTCCGTGGTAAAGCATGCCCAAAATCTCCTTCGCCTCGTAATACTCGTCCTTGGTCTGCTGCTTGACGTCGCCGCCCAGGTGCTCAATGGCGGTCAGGGGCAGCTTTTTTCTTCCTCGAAGTCGATGGGTTGAGCCGAAAACCTCCACGAGCGCCAGCGAATGCAACATGAGAAGTCCACTCGGCGAGGCTCGGTCTCGAACGGGCTGCCCTGCTGTAGCTGCGGTTCCTCTTGCCGTGACTGGTGCCTGTCATGCACCTGCTGAGTCCATGTATTGTTGCGTGCTGCCTCTTTTGCCATGCCTCAAAAATCTGCGTCTCTAATGATATCTTGCGTTCTGCGTCGTGAAGTTGCCTCTGCTTCTTGATAGCTCTGGTGAGCACGTCCAGCTTCTCATCGATGGCAAGGTCGATATCTGCGCCGATGCGCTGCTTGCGTAGCTCCGCTCTTTTCTTCAGAAGCCCGAGCTTCTCCGCCATGAGCTGTTTGCTGGTGCCAGGCTTCATTTTTTCGTTTTCTCTCGAAGAAGGGCTTGACTGTGGTCTTGAGCGTGTCGACCAGGAACTTCCAGTGCGCGTCTGTGGTGCACTGCCCTTTGAGCTCGCGGATGGTATCTGTGTTGTTCTCCAGCGCGGTCTCGAGGGCTGAGATGAACTCGTCGCGAGAAACACCAGTCTGCAGAGACTCCGCCATTTTGTCGAAATCCCATAGCGTCCGATGCATGTCTGTGAAGATGTTGGGCATGACGATCTCGGCACTGGCGATGAGTGGCACGTGGTCCCTCGGCATGTTGTCCTTTATCTGCTGAACTGCCTTCGCTGCCTCCCACCATATACCGCATGTCTGAAGATTCTGCAGTAGCCCTTGAGGAACAACGAGGTAATCGGGTCTCGTAGCTTGTCCTTCTGCGCCGTAATAGGTAGGGCAGCCTTCCAGAAAGTACTGGCGAGGCATAATCCGTGAACGTCCTGCACGTTATAGAAAGAGGCTGCTTCTTCACCTGGCCGTCCGTGTGGTTGCGAGTATTCAAAAAGCTGCAATGAGTCCGTCAGCTCGATAATGATCACTGAGGCCGATGCCTATCAACGGTGTGCTGCGCGTCGGTGTGGCATGAAGCGTACTGTTGATCCACTTGAGCGTCTCATTGACCGTTTTGACCCACTGGATGTGCTTTGCCGCTAGCCCCGAGCGAGGCGGGAGGTAGGCCACGATGTAGGTGAGGTCGAGCTCGCCCCGCTTCATGCGTAGTGCCCCAGCGCGTCCTTGTATCTACTTGGGCGGGCTCTTGATATCGACGACGGCTCTCGGACCGAACCTCTTGTTGCTCACCACGATCGCGGCTCCAGCATGACTGTTAGTGAGCGGTCCGCGGCTATAGCCCCACGTGTAGACGTTGGGATTGAGAGTCTTGAGCTGGTCGACCTCTGAGGTGGCGTCGTGCTGTCGCCAACGCGTAGCTGGGAGCATCATCGAGTCCACGGCGCTGAAGGTGTGGTTGAGCTCGAGGCAGCGATGCGGCGCCAGCATCGAGAGTGGATTCGTACTCCCCAGCGGAGGAACGGCAAAACGGTCCAGATCGTCATGGAGAATATGGAGGCCAGCCAGGCTGGCATGACATGGAAGGCGCCCTCGGCGGGCGGAGCTGCTCTGCGCGGGGTGCCTGCTTGGCCGCTGACAAGGTGGCTTGAGCAGAGGCGGCGGCTGAGGGGGAAGAGGAGGAGGAGGAGGAGGAGGAGGAGGAGGAGGATCGAAATGGGCCGTGCTGGGGGGGCAAGTTTTCGCCCTGGCTCGCCCTTCCGCGGGTGCTCGTCCACCGCGTCCCGGAGCGGCCAGCTCTCCTCGGCCGCCCCCCTCTCCGGGGGGCTGCACTCCGGGGCCACCAGGGATGCGGCGGGTCGAGGGCACCCCGGGGGTGGGAGCACGATTCTCCTCCTCCTCCTCCTCCTCCTCATCCTCCTCCTGCTCCTCCACCTCCTCCCCCGCCTCCTCCTCCTCTCCTCCTCCTCCTCCTCCTCCTCCTCCTCCTCCACACCACCATCCATCGTTCCCCTCCCTCCCTCCCTCTCTCCCTCCCTCCTCCCTGCCTCCTGGTGTCCGCCGTTTGCTATGGAAGTCAAGACAAATGATTATCCCCCTTCCGTCGTCCCGTCGAAGGTGCCCTTAGCCGGTGTCCCGGCGGTGTACCGTGGTGTTTCCCGTGGCGTCCCGTGGTGTCCCGCCGTGGCTAGGGCGAAAGTCAAGACAGATGATTCTCCCCCGTCCGTCCGTCCGCCGGCGGCGGCCCTAGCGGTGTCCCCGGTGTCCCGTTGGGTCCCGTGTGGTCCGCCGCTGCTAGGGCGAAGTCAAAGACAAATGAACAAATAATTATCCCCCTTCCGCCCGCCGTGCGCGGTTGGCCCTAGCGGTGTCCCTAGTGTCCCGTGGTGTCCGTGGTGTCCCCCGTGGTGTCCGCCGTTGCTAGGGCGAAGTCAAGACAAATAAGTCTCCCCCTTCCGTCCGTCCGTCCGGCGGTGGCCCTAGCGGTGTCCCGCGGTGTCCCGTGGTGTCCCGTGGTGTCCCGTGGTGCCCGCCGTTGCTAGTGCGAAATCAAGACACATGATTCCCCCCCGTCCGTCCGTCCGTGCGGCGGTGGCCCTAACGGTGTCCCGCGGTGTCCCGTGGTGTCCCGTGGTGTCCGCCGCTGCTAGGGTAAAGTCAAGACAAAGGATTCTCCCCCGTCCGTCCGTCCGTGCGGCGGTGGCTCGCGGTGTCCCGCGGTGTCCCGTGGTGTCCCGTGGTGTCCCGTGGTGTCCGCCGTCGCTAGGGCGAAATCAAAATAAATGATTTTCCCCCGTCCGTCCGTCCGTCCGGCGGTGGCTCGCGGTGTCCCGCGGTGTCCTGTGGTGTCCCGTGGTGTCCCGTGGTGTCTGGTGTCCCGTGGTGTCCCGTGGTGTCCCGTGGTGTCCCGTGGTGTCCCGTGGTGTCCCGTTGAGTGAGATCGATAGTGAGATCGATGGTGAGATCGATACTGAGATCGATCTGGTGCCCCGAGTTGTCCCGTGGTGTCCCGTGGTGTCCCAAAAAGTGAGATCGATAGTGAGATCGATAGTAAGATCGACAGGTGTCCCGTGTGTCCCGTGGTGTCCCATAGTGGCCCAAAAAGTGAGATCGATAGTGAGATCGATAATAAGAAAAAAAAAAAAAAAAAAAAAAAAAAAAAAGAAAAAACAAAAAAAAAAAAAAAAAAAAAAACAAAAAAAAAAAAAAAAAAAAAAAAAAAAAAAAATAAAAGAAAAAAAAAAAACAAAAAAAAAAAAAAAACAAAAAAAAAAAAAAAGGAATAAAAAAAAACCAAAAATAAAAATAAAAAAAGAAATAGTAGATCGTTTTGTGCTGTCGCCGCGGAGTTCCCGTGGTGTGTCCCGTGGTGTCCTATGGTGGGGGGGGGGTCCCGATGGGTGAGATCGATAGTGAGGATCGATAGTGAGATCGAGAGGTGTCCCGCGGTGTCCCGTGGTGTCCCGTGGTGGCCCGTGGTGTCCCGTGGTGTCCCGTTGAGTGAGATCGATAGTGAGATCGATGACCGTGGTGGCCCGTGGTGTCCCGTGAGATGTTGGTTCCTCCCCCCAAACCTCCTCATCACCCGAAGGGTGGTCGTATAGATAGTATGATGTGTCTTCGTACTCCTCTTAGCATTAATGTTAGTACTAGTAATGACTGGTAGTATTACTCGTATGGCTATTAGTGGTACTTTTTCGTCGTACTACTACGTGTACCCTTAGTGCGATTCGTATGAGTCTCGTTAGTCTTAGTATTAGTAGTGGGTAGTGTTACTTATTGTTTGTCTTCTTCTTAATAAACTTGTTATTACCTATACGACCACCCTTCGGTGATAAGAAGGTTCGGGGGGGGGAGGAACCAACGTCTCACTCGATCGGTCTCACTATCGATCTCACTATCGATCTCAGTATCGGTCTCGCTCGATCGATCTCCCTCGATCGATCTCACAATCGATCTCACAATCGATCTCACTCGATCTCACTCGATCTCACTCGATCTATCTCACACTCGATCTCACTCGATCATCATCATCATCATCATCATCATCACCACCATCATCATCATCATCATCATCATCATCATCATCGTCCTCATCATCATCAGCATCATCATCATCAGCATCACCATCAGCAGCATCACAGCGCATCACGCGGAGGGGCACCATCATCATCTCATCATCAACATCATCATTATCTCATCTCATCTCATCTCATAATATCATCTCATCATCATCATCATCATCCATCCATCATCATCATCATCATCATCAACCATCGCGGGACACCGCGGGACACCGGCGGGACACCGCGGGGCCCGCGGGACAGAACCGCTGGACACCGCGGGACACCGGCGGGACCCCGCGGGCCACCGCCGCCACGGAAGGGTGAGACATTTGGTCCGTCCGCGCCTCAGCCACACGGGACACCGGCTGGACACCGGCGGGACACCGCGCGCCACCGGCCGCCCGGTGGAGAATCATTTGGTCCGGCCGCGCCTCAGCCACAGGAGACTTTCCTCTCGCCCGCCCACGCAGCTTCGCCTCGCCCGCACGCACGGCACGCACGAACACGAAACCGAAATCGATTTCCCGGTAGGGGGGCTCTCCGTTCCACTTCGATCTCACCCCCTCACCTCCGATAATTAGTGTGATGTAATTCTTATGACTCATACAACTAGTATTATGAATAGTATTAGTGGTAAGTGTCCATATACTTTGTCTGATAATTCGTGTTCGTATTCATCCTCCTCCTCTTCCTCCTCCTCCTCCTTCTCCTGCTCCTCCTCCTCCTCCTCCTCTTGCTCCTCCTCCTCATCCTCCGTCTCCTCCTCCTCATCATCATCCGCAGAAACAGCATCACCATCATCAGCATCATCATCGTCATCATCAGTTTCATCATCATCCTCATCATCATCATCATCATCATCAGCAGCAGCATCATCATCAACAGCATCATCATCATAAGCATCAGCATCAACATCATCGTCCTCATCCTCCTTCACATCCTCCTCCTCCTCATACTCCACCTGCTGCTCCTCCTCCTCCCCCTTCCTCCTCCTCCTCCTCATCATCATCATCATCATGATCATCATCATCATCCTCATCCTCATCCTCCTCCTCCTCCTCCTCATCATCATCATCATCATCATCCTTCACATCCTCCTCCCGCTCCTCCTCCGCCTCCTCCTCCTGCTGCTCCTCCTTCCCCTCTTCCTCCTCCTCCTCCTCCTCGAAATCATCCTATCCATCAACATCGTCATGGCCGCCATCATGGTCACCATGATGATCCGCACCACCATCACCACCACCACAAACAGCATCGCTACCCTCGTCATCACCATTATCACCATCGCCACCCTCATCAGCTACAGCATCATCATCGTCAACGGTGCATTTATGGGAAGTGCTGCTTGTCACACCTGCCCTCCACAGCCTCGACGGCACTGTGCCCAGTAAGGCATGGGCGTGGAGCACTTCTACTCCTCCTCCTCCTCCTCCCCCTCCTCCTCCTCCTCCTCCTCCTCGTCATCCGACACATCCGCGACGACAAGGCCAGCACCGACGACAACGCCAACGCCGAGCACGACGATGGCGACGACGACGACGACGACGACCACGACGACGGCGACGACGACGGACGACGACGACGACGACGGCGACGGCGACGGCGACGGCGACGGCGACGGCGACGGTGACGGAGAAAACGGCGTCGGCCGGCGTCCTCGTCGGCGTCGGCTGGCGTTGCCGTCGAGTCGTCGTCGCTGGTCGTCGCCGCTCGTCGCCGTCCTCGTCGCTGACGTCGTCTTCGCCATCGTCTTCGCTCGTGTCTCGTCGGCGCTCGTCGCCGAGCGGCCCGGGCCCCTCCACGGCGCACGCACCGCCCCGGCACACGGTGGCCCACGCCGGGCGGTCGAAGCCGGGGAGGCCCTGACCTTTGCGGGTGTCGGGGGGGGTCGGCGGGCGGGCGGGCGCAGGGGAGAGGGAGGGAGGGAGGGAGGGAGGGAGGGAGAGGAAGGGGAGGAGGGAGGAGGAAGGAAGAAAGAGGATAACAGTGGAGGGTAGGTACGCAGGGAGGGATGGAGCAAGGAGGGAAAGGAGGGGGGGGGGGGGAGGGGAGGAGGAGAGGCAAGGGGAGAGGAGGGGGGGGGGATGGGATGGGAGGGGAGGGGAGGGGAGAGCAGGGGAGGGGGGAAGGGAGGGGGGGGCTGGAGGGCGGGCGGGTTCGGGGCCCGCTCGCAAGGGGGGGGCGCCCGAGACGGCCCAAGAGGGCTCCAATTTGACCCAAAGAGGGCCCCAGGAGCACAAGATGATACATCCCCCTCCGGTTTTGGAAAGAGATTGGCGTTATCGCCTCTTCTGGTTTCACCATTCCAATACAGCCCAACAGGCCCCCAAGCTCGCCCAAAGACTACCCAACAGGCCCCCAAGAGAACCCAAAGACGGCCCCAGGGGGGGCCAAGACGGCCCAGGAGACCCAGCAGGAAGGAGAAGGGGAAGGGGAAGGGAAGGGGAGGGATAATGTCTATTCTACGGCAGCCCGGGAATGAAATTGTCAAAGACGCCGCCAAGGGCCGACCTCACCCGTCGACTGTCAGGTCGTTTCGCTCGGGATGGCACCACTGGAAATACAACTGAATTCCCAACCATCCTGTGGTGTTAGGTCCTCGCTTTGAAGAAAAAGCGCCCTGCGTTTCCACTCTTTTCCTTCCTCCTCCTCCCCCTCCTCCCTCCTCCCACCCTTGCCTCTGCCCTCTGCATGTCCACCACTTCAGCGCACCAAGCACGGCGCTTCGTGGCCCCATGGGGAGCTCCACCGAAAGCTCCAGTGGCGGCGTTCGCACGCGCCTCCCCGACCCAGCACAGCGCTTCGTCGCCCCAAAGGGAGCTCCACCGACGGCCCCAGTGGCGGTGTTCGCGTGCGTCCTCTGGCCTAGAGACATCCGCACAACCTCCCGGCGCTGGCGGGGCGTTTTCCTGGCCTCCGCTCTTGCCACGCAAGCGGCCCGGGCACGTGGACCCCAAACAGTATGTGTCTAGCAATAAATGTTGTGTTATCGATGTGGAACAAAACATGTGGTGCAGCCCATGTGGTGCGATGTATTCGGTACAACCAATGCGGTACAACCGATGTGGTGCGATCTACTTTGTGCCAGTAATGCCATGCAATGTGTATGTATATTCGCACAGTGTCTCAAGCGGCCTTCAAGGAAGCGGCGGAATCGGGCAAAGCCGACGCACTATCAAGCTGTGGGACTTCGTTTTCAGACATGATGAAGCGTAGATCCATCCACAACGAAGTCAGAGAGAAACTCGAAGCGCTTCGCGTGTGCGTCGGCACACTGTGAAAGAAACCTCCCTTTATAATGGGAGTCACCTCGTCCCAAAGAAAAGAGGGTGGCAGGCGGGGACAGGGAGGTGAACAAGAAAGGAGCGACTACGGATGCAACAGAAAGCACCGTGTTGTCCGAAGGCCTCCCCTTCTGCGGAAAACGCGTACAAACTCACATTCGCACAGTGTCTCAAGCGGCCTTCAAGGAAGCGGCGGAATCGGGCAAAGCCGACGCACTATCAAGCTGTGGGACTTCGTTTTCAGACATGATGAAGCGTAGATCCATCCACAACGAAGTCAGAGAGAAACTCGAAGCGCTTCGCGTGTGCGTCGGCACACTGTGAAAGAAACCTCCCATACGCATAATAATGTCCTGGGTGGTGGTGGGGTAGCTGGTCGGCACGTTAACGATACTGGCGAAAAGCGTGCTTGAGCAGGTCCGGGAGTTGGCGACCGGCAGCAATAGCATCCCGCCGCTGGCGGGGTGTCATTTTGTGCAACTGACGTAGTAGAGCTGCGTGCTTCTCGTATCGCCTCACTGAGGCGGGGCACTTCCATTTACCACGATCTTGAATCTGCTGGATGCTGAGGGCATTGAGATAGGCATCAGTCGAGGGGCCAGTGTGTCGGAAACAATGCGGCACAATCCTCAGGGCATCCAGCTCCAGCGCCTCTGAGGCTTCTTTGATGGACTTCTCGTAAGACGGGAGTGTGAGGTGGCGGAAAACTCGCTCACCATCGTGAGCGGACCCATGCAAGAAAGCGGCCACGTCCTTCACGAAGGTGCGGTCGAGGATACCAATGACCAACGTGTCATCTTGCTCGCCAGACTTGGTCTTGCCAGCTCGGGTGCTAGGAGAGAGAACGAGGCCCCAATCGGTGTAGCGTGAGCCACGTTGGCGAATTGGGGGCAGTAGGTCTTCTCGCTTGATGCCCATCAGGGCGCCCGGGCGGACATAGGTATCCACTTGCAACACCACAGCAAGGGCACACCAGAAGTAGAAAGCTTGATTCTTGAGAAGAAGCCACTGAACTATCAACCAGGCCGCCTCGATGGGACAAGGGTCACGAATGCGACCAGGCATCTGGCGAATCCAACCTCGAAGAGCTGCCTTGGCCTTGGGCAGGACGTGCCCTCCGCGGCCCAGATGCGAGAGCCTCAGCAGCGCGTAGCCATACAGGGCCCACCTGCCGATCTGCGGCTGCTCTCTCTGGGCGTAGAGCCACTCGAAGTAGTCCGACATCGCAGAGTCTGCCGCCTCGTGCGTGCGGAGGCTGCGCACCCTGCCAGCTGCCCAAGCCTCGAACTCGCCGACTTCCGCCTTGTAGGTGTGCAGGGTGGCGGCCGAGACGCTGTTCTCGACCAGGTTCCGAGGCAGAGGAGCAGGTCCGTGTCGTACAGCAGGCGGTCGCGCGAGACGCTGTCGTCGAGCGCCGAGCCTCTGCGCGGGAGCGCGCAAGGTCGCGCCACTGCTGGCCGACGTAAGCGATGAGCCTGCCCGGGACCCTGTCGAGCTCGTCGCCGACGTGCGGGGCCGACTTCCACTGGTCAAAGCCCCCTCGCTGACGACGCCGGAGGTTTGGATCGTGCGCTTGTTGGAGACTGGCCGAGCTAACGATGTGTCGAGCCGTGGCATCCTGAGAAAAGGGGAAGATATGGTGCCGCTGTGCGTGGGCCCGAACCAACCGTGCTACATTGAAGCAGAACTTTGAGCCGTAGACTCCTGCGGCTCGAGAAGCTTGCGTCCATCGATATGCCTGCTTGTCAGCATTCCAGAGATAAAACTTACCCGTCACAACCGTATGAGCGTGGCCGCCAGGACATCTTTTAGACAACTGCTCCAGGCCAGGAAGAGTGCCAATCAACCGAGTGGGTTTCTTGATGGTTCCCTCAAAGCCGCAAGCGTGAAATTCAACAACTGAGACACGTGAGTAAGACATGATTTCCATGATCGGCTCAAAGCCCCAGAGACGAGACGTGAGAGGATTCTCCAAGACAAAGGCCACGTTGTACTTCAGACATTCACGAATAACTTCTGACGAAAACCATGCGTGTTGGGCCCCTAGCCAGTCCTTTTCACGAGCAACTTCTGGATTCCGAACGCCTCGCCTAGCTATACTGAAGGCACTGCAGGGGGTCCCCAACCACACACATAAAACTTTGCCCCGTTGAATGAGACCGATGATGTACTGCCTGATGCCGGGGTCCAAGAGGTCATACTCGGGGCCTTTCGAGAGCTCGATACCTTCTCCACTTGGAACGCCTAGAGAGGCCACGGCCCTGGTGAGGCCCTCGTGGCCCGCGAACAGCTCCAAAAAGATCGCCCCTCTCCTAACGCGCAGCGTGCGGTTCAAGTCGTAGCCCTTGGGCTTGGAGGCCTCCAAGACTGGGACGTGTGAGCACCTTGATGGAGTCCCCGAAGAGGTCCTGCCGGGAGCCGAAGAACACGCTGAAGCCCTTGAGGTGCCCGTGGGAGGCCCCGTAGAAGTCCTGCGGGGCGCCGTACACGATGGTGAGGGCCTCCTTGATGAGCCCGGAGAGGGGGCCCGAGTCCTAGAGGGACAGGTAGAGGAGGAAGCACACGCACCCGCAGGGGTGTCTTCAGGCATGACGAAGTGCGTCTTCTTTTTCTTCGAGGCAGCGGGCGCCGCTCGTACAGCAGCGACGCCTGGCAAGTGCAAAAGACGGGCCAGCGCGCCTGACGCGCCACCAGAGGGGCGAACTCGGCAGGAAGCGCGAACGATAGCCATGTCATGACCGCCTCGCTCCAAGCCGAGGTTGCGCGCCCTCTCCGTCGGGTCAGCACCTCCGTCAAAACGGCGAGAGCCCGCGTCCGTGGGGTTGCGAACTCCCTCGAGGTGTCGAGTCGCCCACTGAATGTCGCAGGCGATCTGCAGAGCTGCTGCCCGTTGGCCGAGATAGCGAAGGCCCCAGTTGGTCTTCTCCGTGCCTCGCCCACGCCCTCGATCAAAGGCGCAACAGGCGACCGGGCTGTCGGAGAGGGAGAGGAGCCGCTTCTTGTGGCAGCGCGGGTTGCGGCAGGCACGCCGAAGCCCCGCCAGCATCACCCTGCCTTCCTTGGTGTTGATGTGCTCAGTTGGGTCATTCCACTTCCGCTCGAAGAGGGTCTTCCAGCGCTCGGGCGGGTCCCAGTTGGCACCGAGTGCGGGCACCTGACGAGGATCCTCCCGCAGAACTCGCTCTCGAAGTGCTCGGCGAACTCCTCCAGGGGCGAGCCTGTCACTTCCCTCCCGATACTGACGCTCCAGCTGAGTGGGAGGGCGAGGGGGAGCAGCCACGGCGGATGGCACGTGGTCCTCTTGCCACGGCTCTGGCGAGCCCCCCAGGGGCGAGAGGCCAGCGCTGTCGCAGAGCTCGAGGTAGGGGACCAGCTCGCACCGCGGGTCCAACCGATCCTCGATGAAACGCCATCGTTCGTGATAAGCTGCCGCCTCTCTGAGCTCCGCATCCGAAGCGCTCGTGACCGCCAAGCAGTACCCCAGGTCAGAGGAGTCAGAGCAGTAGGCCATCCGCAGCCGTGGAGCACTCAAGTCGCGCTGGCAGAGGAAGACTAGACCCAGAATCACTTTAATCTCCTGGCG